CATATTGGTGTCTAGAAGACATATTAATACTCGAAATGTATGGCCTTATAACACCAAAATGTTGTTATTATTTAATAAACTGTGTTATCTGGCTAAACAGGAGCCTCATTATTTAATTTCTGTAGTACATATTGGTGTCTAGAAGACATATTAATACTCGAAATGTATGGCCTTATAACACCAAAATGTTGTTATTATTTAATTAAACACTCAATGTTTCGCTTTGAAGCTTTGTACTGTTTTGGTTTGTGTTTTATTGAATGCTCCCGAAGAAGCTGTATTGTCTTTTCGTTCCATTGCTTTTTTAAATGTGCTTGTAATGTTGTATGAAAGACTTTTCTAACAGTCTTGTTTAGGCATTTCTTGATTATATAGTATAGCAATTTCTTAGTGGAATAGTTAAATAAAATTCAGCAGATAATTACATCTATAAGTAACACTTCTAACCCATAATTGCAAAATAAATTTGACATGTAGATCACAAAATAATACAACAGATTTTAAAATCATCATAGAAGTATTATTTAAATAAATAATAATTTCACAGGTTCATTTAGTGGTCAGAGTTTTACTGCAATAGAAATAATATTTTTATTTCCGATACCTTTTATAAATTTAGGAGTTAATCTAATCTGAACTATTCATACTTTCTGTAAAATAGATAAAAAAATCTCTTGCTCTTGGGTTATCTCATCAGACCCATTGTGTTATTCCTCTGGGCATGTTAGCTCAATTGAATTTCTGGGCAATGCTTTTGTTTAATTGACCTGACCTTTGCACATAACTTTTAATATACGTATGTGTTATTTCTTTAACTAATAGTTATTAGTTAGTATTTCTGATTGACTCTAGTGATGTTATCCAGCACAGAACGTTCCTGATAAATGACCCTGATTTGGAGAAAGACTTTTTGTTTGTCTACTTATCTCTCTGTAAATGTAATTCAGTCACAAAATCAGGTATATTGAGCTTTAAGTTGAAAAAGTACAGTATTCGGGTATGAAATTATTCATTAAATTATTGTCTTTCATTCATGAGAAAATGATTTACAAACTGTTTATATGTTTGTTTGTTTTTTTAGACTTTTATGTTTCTCTTGTATTTCTTAGATTTCTGTATTGCATTTATTGCTTGGTTTTCTTATCTGTCTGTGTTGCTTTCTTGGTTGACAAGCACCAAATTGAACTAAGCTTGTTAACTCTTTAAACCCATAATTGTTTTCTTGTTCTGCTGGAATTATTTTCACCATACTTTATAAAAATTTCTGGTCTGTTTATAAAAGGTGGATAATAAACATGGTTTGGATTAGTTTTCAGCCAAAGAAACGTAAATGTTATTGGATGCTGTCACCGTCCAATGGATAACTTGGAATTTTTGACCGGATGTTGGAAGCTTTCTCTCAGGTTTAAGGAGTTAATCTTTCCCAGCAGAAATGGATTGGTAAACTTGTGCTAGAAGCTGTAAAGATGGATAAGCATATAAGTAGAGGGAGAAAAACAATACTGAAGGTTATTGAAAAATACTGTCTCTGAAGCAACAATAATCTTAGGAGATGTATAACAATGTATGCCTGACAAGTTCTTAACTCAGTAGAATGATCCTGAGCCTAGATGAGAGTGTCTGAAAACATAGAATACTTGATTGGTTGCTTCCCTGACAGTGTATGTATGAAACCATGGTGGAGTTATCTAAATGGACAAGAATAGCACAGTCCAGAACAAAAGAATGAAGATATTAGCAAGCCCAAGAATAGCACAGTCCAGAACAAAAGAATGAAGATATTAGCAAGCCCAAGATACTACAAAGTGCTTCAACAACTTACTAGGAAACTCACAATAGATGGCATCTTTAATTGCCTGAATTGGTGGATGATGCATCTGTGAAGAAACTCTGAGCATCATGTTAGGATGATTGAGCCATCATATCTTTCATGAGGGACTAGAAGAGTCTCTAACTCAAAAAGTAACAAAGTTTGTAAGCCAGCCATATTACAAAATAAAAACATATTTCCACAAAATGAACCCACATGACAGAAGCACAAAGAACTGCGGTAAATACATAAGTAATGTGAACCCAACTAGTGTAATCACTTCATTGCATTGGAAATATTGTAAACCCATATAATGTATTCAGATTCCTAGCACTGAAAACATTGTAAGCCCATTTAATGTATTCAATCCCTAGCATTAAAAGCATTGTAAACTCAATTGGTGTAGTCACTCCTTAGGATGGAATTATTATGTATGTGTAGTTTGTTAAGAAATCAACCAGAAACTCTATAGACATTCAAAGATGATAGCTAACAGTTTGCGATGAAGAAGTGTTCAAACACCTGAACCAGTTAACATTATTTAACACATGGTGTTTGGATCTCTTTAATACTGCTATTTGTTTTTTACGTGATAATAATAGAACTATATTTTTTTACATGATGATAATAGAACTATAATTTTTACATGATAATAATAGAACTATAATTTTTACATGATAATAATAGAACTATATTACAAGATAACACCGTAATAAATATAATACAAATTTCTGTCTCAATATTCTTCAGTGTATCCAGTAGTGTGTTGTTTTTTTTTTCATTTAAACATGGGCAGAGGATCTGTACTATCTTAACAGTCCATTATAGTGTACCTAATTAGATACAGGAATTAGTATTTGACCTGTTTGTTGACTTCTTCATATATTTAATTTAATTTGATATATATACAAGATCCTTATTTTGAATAATGAGTCTTGTTGTGAAGACTGACTCTGAACTTACTATTCAACACATGGTTGTCCCCCCGGTGGCACAATGATAAGTCTATGGACCTACAATGCTAAAATTCAGGGTTTGATTCCACATGGTGGATACAGCAGTTAGTCTAATATTGTTTGTTTCTGTAAAAAACAAACAAATCAATACGTGATCTTACACACATACACATATTTCAGATCTTATAAAGATCTTTAAGGTCGTGACCCAGTCTCAAGCTGTTTTGTGCATTCTTATGAAATATATTTGTGAATATCTAGAGAGTTAATTAGCAGTGTTAACATTCCCACTTAAAAACTACAAAGAAATTGTGCTGACACGTCTTATATATAATTTTGTTTGTTTGTTTTTTAACTTGGATGGTTTCATTACACGGACTGGTCATCCTTGTGAGTCAACAATTACATATATGATAATACAGAATTAACAGATTTTGTTTTAAAAATCTTTTACAAATCTTTTTATTCTCTATACAAACTATTCAGTTAGAACACTTGATGTGTTATTAGAACCAGGAAGAAGAATGGACTACTTCCTGTGACAGGAAGTTTCTTGATGCAATATGGAGAAATTAAAGAAGCTGTAGACTTAAGTCATCTTCCTCGATACCTCGGGAATTGCCAGTTTAGCCACTGATTTTTGTCTGTCATTATGTTGTGCCTCTGTGGTAAACTTCAGAGACCCATCTGATTGTCACTGGTTAGACAACAACCAGGATGGCAACTTGCAAATGTTTAGTAGGTTTTTCCACTAACTGATTTTAGCAGTTTTGACATTGTGCTCAGAGACACACTTCCTAAGATGACCCTGGCAGAAGTTTTGATGTGACATGCTGTTGGAATGGACAACATGGCTATATGTTAGAGGCAGGGTTCATGGACATGGATATAACTAGGCTATTGAATCTGATGGGAAAACTTTCAATGAAGACAAAAACTTTAGAACATGAATAAAATAAATGTTATGTTGATGTAGATTCAAACGTATTTGTGTCATTTTATATATCTTCGGATTATACCTATTCTGTGACTTACTCATTGGGACAGCAATAAGTTTACTGATTTACAATGCTAAAATTTGGGATTCGATTCCCCCACGGTAGATACAGCAGATAGCCTGATGTGGCTTTACTCTAACATAAACAAAGAAATGCTCAGAACAGTGGAACGATCTCACGTGCACCACATTTTACAAATAAACTTCCTAATTTTATTGTTTATGTTATAATTGAAATGTTACTGGCAAAATATACAACAATGTTTTATAAAGTAATTTAGTGTTACTGGCAAAATATTACAACAGTGTTTTATAAAGTAATTTAGTGTTACTGGCAAAATATTACAACAGTGTTTTATAAAGTAATTTAGTGTTACTGGCAAAATATTACAACAGTGTTTTATAAAGTAATTTAGTGTTACTGGCAAAATATTACAACAGTGTTTTATAAAGTAATTTAGTGTTACTGACAAAATATTACAACAGTGTTTTATAAAGTAATTTAGTGTTACTGGCAAAATATTACAACAATGTTTTATAAAGTAATTTAGTGTTCAGTATAACTGCTGGAGGATATTTTAGTTTTAAAAACTTTTTAGAACGATTTGACCGAATCTTTTAAAACAAAGTCTTGGCGGGGAATGGCAGAGATTAATATGAAGATTATAAAAAAAAACTGCTTGGAAAAAAATAATTTTTGTTGTTACACTGTTTATCTGTCAGAGTAATAAATTGTGCCTTTTATTCATATCTAAACGGAAAATCACGCTGTCGTAAGAACTTCAACTTACCATCTAAGTGTCCACCATTTTTAAAACCAACTAATTGGGAAGACACGTTTGGTTGTAATTACAACCTGAGCTTGTATTTTTTTTTTTATAAATTATTTTGTCAGTTGGTATTGAATTACGGAACTAATTTCAGTTACAGTTTGTTTTTAAAGTAAAGCCACATTGAGCTATCTACTGTGTCCATTGCGGGGAATCGAACCCCGGATTTAAGTGTTGTAAGTCAGTTACAAGATTTCCTGTTAACTAATCCGGTATTGCACTAAAGCAAAGCTCACATCGAATCCCGGATTTTCGCGTTGTTAGCCCGTAACTTATTGCTGGCTCACTGGAGGATCACGTGTCAGTGTAGCTCAGGTTCAGTTGGTATTGAATTACGCAACTATATAAAACATGTTTAAAAATCAAAACTGAATTATTGGGCATTTTTAAGAGATACTTAAAATAGGCTTTGTTCAATGTACCATATAATAGGTCCATACGGGGGTACATACGAATTTTCTCTGTTGGAATTTGTTCTGTTTGATGGGCGTTTTTTACCACTACTTCGCCCATGTAGATGGATCTCCACCATATTTGGTATGGAGGTTTATTGGTTCAATGGGGAAACACTTACAAATTTTTAGTTTTGCATTTTGCAGTTATTATGGGCGTTTTTGCGTTTCTTACTACTAATTCGCCACCTGTAGGTGGATTTTCACCAAATTTGATATGGAGGTTCATTGGGTCCATGGGAAGATGGATAAAAATTTTCAGTTTTGCGATTTTTATTAGCATTTTTGCGTTTTTTACCACTACTTCGCCCCCTGTTGGTGGATTTTCACCAAATTTGATATGGAGGTTCATTGGGTCCATGGGAAGATGGATACAAATT